ATTAACCCTAAGAATACTTGGAGTTGGTTCTGGGTGGTAGGCTCAAGAAGGCCTCAAGTGGCCTCTATCCTATTTGAGGATAATATTCTCTTCTCAAGGGTTAATATGAAGCCTAAATATTCTACTGTTTTTGTTGTAGTATTTGAGCTTTATTCTTAGATATTTTATACCCTTCGTATTCCAGGAAATTTAGCATTTATACTACATATTGACAGCCTATTTTCTCCATGGAGAACATATAAGTATGCCATCTACATATTAGATAACCTGGCTGGCCCCCCTCAAGTGATAGATCCTTTAAGTTCTCTGCAAGTGCTTGTTCAAACAAATGCGGACTCTCTCTAAATCAATGAAGGAGGACTCTCCACATCAGTTGTTGTTTATGTCCTTATAAATTTTCCTATTCAAAAGCAAATAGAAATTGACAGCCTCAATCCAGAAAAAATGCAGAAGAAGGTCTCTTTTAAATCTAGTACAGAGAACCATTGAATTTGGGAAGGAATTTGTCCATGACAGTATAAGGTTATGTATAGGGATGACAACCTCACTGATTGTGCTTGAATCTTGAACTAATCTATAGGTCCCATTTTTTTTCTTTCTAATAGGTAAGATGAGAATATTAAAGAGAGAATTATAAGCTACTAACAACTCATGACCAAGGAATATAGTGATAATTTTATGTAGCCCTTTCCAGGTCTCTGAATTTATATAATATTGCTTTATATTAGGAAAATTGATTGGATCTTTTAATTTGATCTTAACTGGTTTAGCGTTGTTAGCCTGACCTGGAATTCCTGTTGCCCATATTTGGGAATTAAGTTCTTGTTCCTTACCTATGTTGGTTTTGGTTGCTCCTCTCTTAACAAATAATGCCATAATGGGAACTTGCTCCTCAATGCTATAGAGAAACTTACTTGAGTACTAATTTTATTCAAAATATCTCTGCCTAATTAAAGGGGTAAGGTGCTCTGTTATGACCAAAAATTGGTATGTAAATGTGATTGCTTCCTATAAGCTTTTCAAAAGTAGGGTAAAATGTCTTGCTTGGGGTGCACCATCTACTCCCTGTATGATAGTACTATCAGGACTGAGGGGTCCCTTATGGGAGGTCAACACCGAAGGTGGCTCCATATCTGATAGAAATCAATAGGTCTTCCTGCCACTGCAAGGGTTACTCTGGGCTCTGCCCCTCTTATGGAGGTGTTCCTAGAGGGAGCCTACTGAAGGATAGGGCCCCATCAGTTCAGAACCATGGCATTCGAGAGTGTGGACTAGGGGTCTCTTTGGCCCTCAGAGCTGTCCCTTTTTCAGTGTCTGGACTTTTGACATAAAGGGCGTGGTTTTCAGTGAGGCCCTGTCCTGGGCCATGCCTGCTTCTAGTGTGGAGGCTTCCCACACTTATGATAATTACCAGCGGGAGATCCCTTGGGTTTTCTCTTTTGTGGACCTTGAGGCCATTGCTCTTGTAGGGAGGTTGATGCTGCACCTTTTTGTGTTCTGTTTTGTTTTGTTATGTTTTAATATATTTTATTGATTTTTTACAGAGAGGAAAGGAGATGAATGGAGAGCTAGAAACACCTATGAGAGAGATACATTGACCAGCTGCCTCCTGGAATCGAACCTGGGACCTTTCAGTCCACAGACCGACACTCTACCCACTGAGCCAAACAGTTTCGGCTCTTCTTGTGTTTTTGCTTCTTTAGGTCCCCCTCCTCCTCTTTTGGGTCTCTATTACAGAACACTAAGAATGCTGCCTTTAGTGTGTCCCCCATGGGAGTCACTGGACCTATGTCTAACTTCTGTAATTTTCTTTTAATATCTGAGGATTAATCATTCATGAACTTGTTCTTTAATACTATTTTTTTTTTCCTAGCAGGATCTTCAGGATCTACTATGTTTGATTATGCCTCCCACAACTTTTCTGAAAAAGTCGGTTGGGTTCTCCTGAAGTCCTTGGTCAATGGTTGAAAGTTTATTATAATTAACTGTCTGTTTGTTTGTTGGGGTGGGGAAGTCTTTCATTCCCTGCAAAAGGCAAAAAGCTTGATCTCTGGCCCACCTCCCATTCTCTGAATCACAGTCCCCATTTGGATTAGAATAGGGGATGGCCTCTGTTCCTAGTGGATAGTTACCATTTTGTACTTGGACCTCATTTACATAAGCCAATGCCTTCCACTCCATACTATCGCTTTAAGAGATGGTCAGGTTTCCTAAAGGGATTAGATTAACATCCCTCCAAGATATGTCACATGTTAAGATGAGCTTTTTCCATTCTTAGATAAACTTTCAAGGGTCCTCTGTAAAACTCTGGAACCTGTCAATTAAGCCCAATTAAGCCTATGATTGCTAAATGGAACCTGAATTCTGATTATTTCCTCCTGTCCTGGGGCTTCCCTTACAGGAAAGAGATGAGGTGGTATTCTTTGTTTTTTGTTTTTGTTTTAATTTATTGTTTTATTCTTCCTCTGACTGGTTGATTCTTATCACACTTATAAGAAAGAATTCAGATAAATGAGAGAACACAGTGCTGAAGAAAAGCAAGCAAATGTATATAAGAATGCACTTGGCATAAAGCACAAGCAAGCAACTCAGTTATTCTGAGTGTCACACCCATGGGGTTCTAAGGGTTATATATCTTTTTGCTGAAAACTTCAAGGTTCCTTCCCCTGGTATCAGGATTAGCATATAGGTTTTCAAGCTCCCTCTTGTCATTTGTAGTTTGACTATTGATACTTTTGTCTTGTCAGGTCTCAGGGCTCATTGGGTCTGATAATAACCCCATTTCCTGTGTTAAGTATCTATCTACTCTGCCTAACAATTGCAGTCTGGAAAGGATTAAAAATTGCATGAAGATTAGCATGGCCAGAGTATGGCCTTGATTTCAGAGCATATCACCAGTAGTGAAGAGATTTTTACATAAAATGTGATGGATCAATACTAAAAAATTAAAAGAGCCTGGCCGGTGTAGCTCAGTGATTGAATGTCAACTAGTTGACTCATGAACCAGGAGGTCACAGTTTGATTCCTAGTCAGAACAGATGCCTGGGTTGCTTGTTCAATCCCTGGTAAAGGGTGTGTAGGAGGTAGCTGGTCAGTGATTCTCTCTCATCAATGATCAACTCTCATTTCTATCTTCCCTCCTTAGCCCTTTCTCTCTCTGAAATCAATATAAATGTATTTCTTAAACATTAAAAAAAACACACTTTGAAAAACTTAAATTTTGTGTTAATTGCTTTTAATTGAGAACCCTTAATTACTTTACCTTAATTATGATTATAAAACAGGAAGTCATTGATCATAGAAGCATCACACAAACTAAAAATATCTGGGACTACTGGTATCCAGTCAGGCTTGTAAGAAGCTTAGAAATTGTCATTTGTCCTAACAACAAGTGAAAAGCTAAGCAAACTGAAAAATCATTAACTTTTTCTAGACTCATAAGAGAATTAAGGTTACAGGTCCAAATGCACTCCCTTCTCACAAATTAAAGAGACCAATGGGCAAAACAGATTTTAAACTGACTTAAGCAGAAATTCACAAGCTGAAACCATGGGAATCAGTGCCAAGGTAGATTGGGGAGAGAAGCCTGAACTGCAGTTGGATTTGTGGAGGCTCAGTGTGGGCAACTCTGAATTAAAAACTTCAGGGGACCAAGTCATGATGGGGATATACATCCGTGAGTTTCCATGAGTTTTACCAGCTTCCCCTCCTGCAGTTTTACCAGCTTCTCATGGTGAATAGGAAGAAAAATTCCCTCATACTTCCTGCAGGAGAAGGGGAGACTTTTTGTTTGTGTGTTTGTTTGTTTATTTGTTTAATTGTTTGGAGCATGCTGTTCTTCTTAACAAGATATGCCTGCTATCTACTATAATTTTATTAAAGCCAAATTCATCTAAGGGAAGAAAAATAGCCAATTTCAGGTAGCTCTAGCCTTCTATATAGAGGAAGGGAAACACCCCAAATCCAGCACACTCTAGCAATCTTGTCCTACCCAACAGGAAGGGGGTACTGATGAGCAGGCTAACCCCTATTTTGTAAAACTACTGTTTGGAATTCTCTGCTGTTAAACGTCCTCTTACTCTAAAAAAATAACTTTGCTTTCTAGCCTGCTTGAATAATGAGGAAGATAAAGTTAGCTGTCTGACCTTGTAGGTCCGAGACTAGATATGTCCATAATCTCAATACCATGCCAGGTGTATTTTTTAATTGGATAGAACTCTGTTGTTTTCAAGGCCAGCATCGAGATAACCACTAAGTGAACATAGGGCTGGCTCCTTAATAAAAAGGAAAGTTCTGCTTGTAGCTTTGCTTAGAATTTGAATTCATTTTATCTAAGCCTGCCAGTGAATAAAATGTGACTCCAAATTCTCTGACATTGTTTGGTTATTCCAGTTCTCTGTAACACTAAGTACAGTGGTACCTAAGTTCTTAAACTTAATTCATTTTGGAAAGCTGTCCAAGAAACAACTGTTCTAAAAGAAATCTTTTTTTTCATTAAAAATAATATAAATTGTATTAATCCAATCAAGACCTTCAAATGATTTTCTATTTTAACCTTTCTTATAAACTTATTTGACATATACTGTATAATCTATACATAATCATTTCAAAAATAAAAAGGACATGAAAAATAAATGAAAATTTAACAAGAAGGAAATAAAATGTACAGTAAAATGAAAACTTATGTATACAATAGAACTTACCTTTTAAAGTAAATATATTTCTTTATTGATTTCAGAGAATAGGGAAAGGATAGGTAGAAATATCAATGAAAAGAGAGAATTTTTGAGTGGCTGCCTCTTGCATGCCCCTGATTGAGGGTGAAGGCCATGACCTGGGCAAGTGCCCTGACCAGGAATCAAATTTGTGATCTCTTGATTCAGAGGTCAATAATCAACCACTGAGCAACACTGGCCAGGGGGTGGTAGAACTTTAATGTTGAGAGCTATTGATATGTGAGAGTAGGAATCGAGGGATGGAGGGATGTTATTATTTGGAAAGGGAGTTCCTCACCATAAAAATGTCAGTTAGCTGTTCTTTTTAGGTTCTCTTTTTTGTCTCTTTGCTTCACTAGAACTTGATGCAGGCTCATTGGGCCTCTGCCTCACTAAAAATCTATCCAATGATGTTTGTTTTTGCCTGCGTTTTAACACTTGCCTGTGTTTTAACACTTGCCTGAACTGTCATTGAATAAGTTTATCACATGGTTTGCTACTTCTTTGTCAGATGATATTTCTCAATTAGACTTTGCATGTCTCCCCATTTTCTTAGCATTTCCTTCTATTCAATACTCTTGATGGCCTTTGAATGTTTAACAATGTGCCAATCCTAATTTTGCTGTGCTATATGGTAGGCAGCACAGACACATTATACTTGGCAAAATTTAGGCTCTACTGTTGTTCTCACAACTTTACTTTTCACTTTGCTGCTATCACTAACCTTCTCAGGACCCATAGCAACTTACTGTACATATTGAATAATAATAATAAGTAGCAACAAAAGCAAAAAAATAGTCATGAAAATATTCACAGAACACTTTTCTGAGATGTTAAGAATGTGAAGTTTAGTAATAAACTGACTCATACTTGTGCATTGTCTCCCTTGTCATCTGAGATGCATGACTGATCATCTATAATAATAAAAGCATAATATGCTAATTAGACTGAATGACCACTGGTGCCAGGCCAGCTAAGATGGGTGTGATGTGATTGGTTGGGGGCGAGGCCATAACTCCATGATTGCCCTGCGAGGGAAGCCCAGGTCTCAGGTGCCAGAGGAAGCTAGTGCTGGCAGCCAGGGGAAAGGCCTTCTCTTGCATGAATTTCATGCATTGGGCCTCTAGAAGGAGGTATAAGCATTAAAGGGTTGTTGGGTCAAAAGCTTTGTTTGACAACTGAGACATTTTTTCAGTGAACTGAATTGCTTGAGATGGGAGAACCAAGGTTTGACTGTACTTGTGAAATTCACAGTCCAGACGCATTCACTAAAAGACTAAGACATAATAATAAACAACTATAGAATGCTCCCTCAGTCTCCAGCACCTTAACACCACATTACTAACGGCTTATTTAAAGCAGGTCATTTTACCTCCTACATCTTGTTCAGCTATTAAGAAAAAAAAAAGACACACTAAGGACAAAAACACATTTTGAACAGACATAGTAAAAATTTGTGTGTGTGTGTGTGTGTGTGTGTGTGTGTGTGTGTGTGTTAAGAATGCTAAAGGTTTATTCTCTTAGCAAATTCCAAGTGTATAATACTGCATTATTAACTATAGGAATCATACTATACATTAGATATTTAGAACTTTATCTTAATACTGAAAATTAATTCCCTTTGATCACCCCCCCATTACCTCACCCCCTGGCCTCTAACAACCACTATTTTCCTCTCTGCTTTTGTGAGTTTGTTTGTGTATGTATTTATTTTAGATTCTACATATAAGTAATACTAAATGCTATACAGTCTTTATCTCTCTCTTTCTGGCTTGTTTCACTTAGAATAATGCTCTCATGCTGAAACCGGTTTGGCTCAGTGGATAGAGCGTCAGCCTGTGGACTAAAAGGTCCCAGGTTCTATTCTGGTCAAGGGCATGTACCTTGGATGCGGGCACATCCCCAGTAGGAGATGTGCAGGAGGCAGCTGGTCAATGTTTCTCTCTCATCGATGTTTCTAACTCTCTATTCCTCTCTCTTCTTCTCTGTAAAAAATCAATAAAGTATATTAAAAAAAAAAGAAAAAAAAAGAAGAATGCTCTCAGGTACAGGATTCCAGAGCAGGAGGAATAAGGAAACTGAAACAGTAAAGTTAAAACAAGAACAAACAGTGTAGGCAATTTGCAGCCAACTTGTAACTAACAAGCCTTTATCTTCCCCAGCCAAGGATGCAGAGCAAATGGTTAAAAACCTCCCTAGTGAGAGAATGAAGAGACAGGAAGGGCAGTTTAACTCCCTAAGTAGCAGAGCCAGCAGTCCCAAAGCTTGGCAGGATAAAGTTGGCAGGTGTTTCTCATGAATTCTAAAACGACAACAACAGAGTAAAAAGGGAGTTTGAGAATTAATCTGTACCAATTTATTCAGCAGAGGAATTTTGAAACCTATAGAAAGGAGTTTTTATAATACCTCATACCCCCGCCCAAACTGCTCTTCAGACTGGCTGAAAACCCATTTGCACTTCATAAGGCAGACATACAGGGTTGCTGGTTTTGTTTTTGTTTTTCAATAAAGGGGCATGTTTTAATCAATTGGCCTTTCACAATGCAGTCAAAGTCTCTCATACACATTCATTTATATGAGAAGACAAGGATTGAGGTTGGGAACAGCCCTCTCCCACTGACTCAGGTTGTCCCATAACACCTCTCTGGTGTCAGGGAAAGGTGCCTAAAACACATCCACCTTACAACAAATGTCAGGATTCCCTATCTCCCATTTTTTAAGGCCGAATAACAATTCCTAGTAAAAAGCACATAAAGTACACTGTATACAAATATATACCATGTTTTCTTTCTTTATTTTGCATCCCCCTTACAATGTACAAGGGTTTCCTAGCCAGGACCGGTTTGGCTCAGTGGATAGAGCGTTGGCCTGCGGACTGAAAGGTCCCGGGTTCGATTCCGGGCAAGGGCATGTACCTTGGTTGCGGGCACATACCCAGTGGGGGGTGTGCAAGAGGCAGCTGATCGATGATTCTCTCTCATCCATGTTTCTAACTTTCTATCCCTCTCTCTTCATCTCTGTGAAAAATCAATAAAATATATTAAAAAGAAAACAACAACAACAAAAAACAATGTACAACGGTTTCCTTTTCTTAACATCCATGCCAACACCTGTTATCTCTTACATTTTTATAATAGCATCCTAACAGTTGTGAGGTGATATCTCAGTTTGGCAGTTGTGGGGGCTCTGACCAGAGTACACGAGATGGTAAAGGCCTATTTGCCATGTGTATGCACAAAGGAATGACACAGGGTTCTTACCGCACACACTGCACAGGTACACCTTTATATAATGTAGCACTAATGTCACTCTTTGACAAGGAGCCTCTTTTGTTTTAGTTAGTATAAAAAATACTACCGAACAACTGGTGGCTGGCTGCTCTGTCTGCAATAAAGCATGTCCCATCTACCTGCTTCTGCTCATACCTTTTTCCAATTCCTAACGTCCAAAGAAGTCCTGTCCCTACCAGGAAGTCCTGAACTCAACAGCTTTGATTTTTATTTCTCTGATAATTATTGATAGTGAGCATCTTTGTCATATACCTGATAGTGATTTGTATGTCTTCTTTGGAATAAATTTCTATTTGGGTCCTTTACCTCATTTTAAGTGATTTTTTTTCTTTGTTTAGGGATTTTTTTTTCCTATTGAATTCTTTGAGTTTCTTATGAATTTTAGACAATTAAACCTGTATCAGATATATAGTTTGTAAGTCTTGTCTCCCATTCTGTAGGTTGCCTCTTCCTTTTGTTGATTGTTTCATTTGCTGTGCAGAAATGTTTTTATTTAATGTAGTCCCACTTGTTTATTTTTAAATTTTCAGTTTTTCTATGTTATTGCTTATAGGTTCATACTATTGTGTTCAGAAAAGTTATTTTATATAATTTCAACATTCTTACATTTTTAAGACTTGTTTTGTGAGCTCATATATGATCTATCTTGGAGAATGTTTCATGTGGGCTTAAGAAGAATATGTATTGTGGTGCTATTGACTGTTCTTCATAAGTCCCTTTGGTCCATTCAGTCTACAGTGTTATTCAGATCTGCTATTTCCTTATCAATTCTGTTTAGATGATCTATCTAGTGTGAAAGTGGGGTAATGAAATCCTCTACTATTAACATATTGCTGTCATTTCTCCCTTCAACTCTGTTAACAGTTACTTTAAATATTTAGTTGCTTCAATGTTGTTGCCTATATATTAAGAACTGTTATATTCCCTTGATAAATTGGCACCTTTATCACTATATAATGATCCTCTTTGTTTATGTGACCAATATTTACTGTATTCTTTTGGTCATCATTCGTATGGAATTATTTTTTTCGTCCCTTCACTTTTAAACTATGTGTTTCCTTAAAGTTAATGTGAGTCTCTTGTAAGCATATTGTAGCTATATATTGTTTATTTATTATTTATTTATTTATCTATTTATTTATTTTTGTTAATCTCACCTGAGGACATTTTTCCCCCATTGATTTTTAGAGAGAGTAAAAGGGGAGGGAGGGAGGAGGGAGAAGAGACACAGAGAGAGGATACTTCTTTGGTTGTTTCTCCCTAGTAAAAGCACATAAGGAAACAAAAGTATTTAACATATGGAAGAAAAACAAAGCAGATCTAGAATATGCAGAGAGTTTTCATTAAAAAAAATAACAGGAAAAATAGAAGAGAAATCTATTAAATATATAATAAAAGCATTTACCTAAATAAAAGCATAAATATGTATAGTGGCCATAAATACCATATTCCAAGAAAAGATCATTTAGAATTGTCCACACAGAGATACATCTTGATTGGGCATAGTACTATTGTTGGCTCTCTGTCTTTTTTGCCCCCCCCTCTTTTTTTTTTTTTTTTTTTTTTTAGTTTTTCTTAGTACAAATCAATTCTATAGCATGGGAAGCTACTATTAATCAAAATATAAATATACAAATCTCTCTCTATATATAAAATAGAGAAATATGCTAATTAACCAGGATGCTGTAACAGGTTGACTGGACATGAGGAGGTGGCACACACAGCATCAGTGGTGGGGTGGAAAGGGCTTCCCTGCACCTGTGCTGGGGGACGGCCTCATCAGCAGCGGCTGCAGCTGCTTCAGGGGCCAGAGAGGAAGGCAGGGCAGACCAGCAGTGGCTGTGGCTGCTGCAGGGTCTGGGGAACAAAGCAGGGCTGAACCGTTGAGGGTCAGCAGTGCTGTGTGATTTCAAATCACATGCTGGGCTCCTGGTATGTAATATAGTTCAAAACAAAGTACAGTACTCAAATGTGAAGAAAAAGGGAACATTCATTCACATATGTAGCATCTTGAGATCTGTTGGATTTGATTGTACTGAGAAAGATTTCTAAAGATGGAAGAAATTTGACTTAGGTTATTAAGACTACCATTGACATATTTGAATACTAGACTTTTTACTCTGCATGTGACCATTCCAGGAGTGGTGAACCTTTTTTTTTTTCTGCCAAGAGCCATTTTGAATTTTATAACATCATTTACAGGCCATTCAAAATTTTCAACTTAAAAATTAGCCTGCTATATTTGGCCAAACGTTTAATTAACTCACCTCTAATATCTTGGCAGGGCCAGACCAAATGATTTTGCAAGCCTCATAAAGTCCGCAGGCCACATGTTCCCCACCCCTGATTAAACCAACAAAGTAATGAACTGTATATATCTAAAAATATTTCTGTGCATTGAGGAAGTTGTAAAATATTTACTTTCCAGATTCAGCCCACTTTAGCCTTAATACAAAATTCTAACTAAAACTATTGACTGGTACAAAAAGTGTTCTAAATGTGGTTATTGTGATTTGTGAATTTAAAAATAGATTTAATAGTATTTTTTTTTCCTATATCATTTTAATTTATTTGAACTTCTCATCTCCTCTTCCCAAATTTGTAATTTATTTTGGGATCCTTTAAGTGCTTGTCTCTTAAATTCAAGATTTGTCAAATATGACTTCAAAATAGATCACTTTTATTTGAAAAATTATTGAAAATAATAGGAATAAAAAGCATTTTAAGATTTAGTGAGATCAGTTTGTGATGGGAAATGTCTAAAATGTCTACACATTTACTTTACAAGTGGATAAGCAGGATTTTCTCATTATACTTGAATTTGGAATAGTCTACTAACCATTCCTGACCTTACACATGTCAATTATTACAAAGAAAGTCAAATAAAGAGTCTAATTTAAAGCCCAGAGGAAAGAGAATAGTGAGAACATAATGTGAAACTCTTTTTATAGCAGACCAGCATTAGATTATTACTGCTTAATACCTGAAGATTCCTTCCAATGTATAAAAGAGAATCAAATAAGTGTTTTATATTAAAAATTAAAACAATTGTTGTATAACATTATAAATTTAATGAACAAGAAACAGACAACCTCACACACTCAATTTCCATTCTATACTTCATCCTTTTTTGTTGATCAAGGTGAAATCTTATTTTTAAGGTAGAGTTCTATATCTTCATATTTCTTAAGTCACATTTAATAAACTAGTATATTATCTTTGGATGTTTCTCTCTTTACTCCTGTACATGAAACTCTAAGATTAAATATTGGCATGCTATCTAAACAAACCTTTCATATGCTCTTAAAATCAGACAAATGTAAGAGTTTTAACATTTTCTATGCTTATAATATAATGAATGAAACTAGTAGGTTTGATAAAAATCTGGTTTTCCCCTTGCTGTACTGTACTTCTATATATCATTTGGATTGGGTTTTAGAAGATGATGTTTTCTGGCTTTAGTCTTTCAACAGTCAAGTTGAGGTAGAAGAGTATTGAGAAATGCTGGAGGACACTGGCTGTGACTTCAGGGCACTGTCTTCCTCTGTGCAGTCTATGGCTCTGAGGCTTGTGGGGCTATTGTGGCAGCAGCTATTGAAGCTGATGCACAGATTGCTGGATTCTTTGACCTGTGAGTAGAAGTGCCAGAATGAGCAGCAACAATGTGAAGGCTATCACACATTAGCCAGAGTATCTCTCTCTTTTTCTTCTCCTGTCTCTTCCTGACACACTCCTATCCTAGAGCCCCACAGGATCCCTGCTGCCACTGCTGTCCTAGTTGTTGGGCACTTGGGACCTTGGCACTAGTCAGGGACAAACTTTGAATTTTAAATGTGAAATAAAATTTCCCAAGCTTTCAGAAAACACTAAACTAACTAATGAAGAGGAAACAATCAAGTTGGCTCATATCTCTCAATAGCAATAATCAATTCTAATTTATAGTAATGTGATGGCTGTTAAGTTCTAAGTGATTCGAAGAATGAATCAAATTTAAATAAAAAATAAACTGTCATTCAATGTAGATGCAGAAGAAAGGACTACACAATACAAGAGCTCAGGAAACATAGCATCTATAGACTCTCTGGAAAAGATTTTCTTGAATACTGCCGACAAAGATATGACTTAAATACTGCTCACAAATAGATTCAGTGAAATAAAGAAAATATAGAACCATGTCATGGAATAGCTGCTGTCAATGATTGAATGTATGTATCTATTTAAAAGTGGAAGAGTAATATAATTGCAAGAAATACATACACAAGGGAATAAAAATGTTATAAACTATGAAATACAATATAATATTATCTTCCTATATAATAATAAAAACATTGAGATAAAATGGGAGCTGGAAGATGGGAGGAGGTACTGTGTAAAGTAATTAAATTATATAATTTATGTTATGCAATAATTTAAGAAGAAACTCAAAGATGTCTATATGCTTAAATGGCAAACTATATTCATATACACAGAAGAAAAGACAGATTATGTAGACACAGATACAAAAGAAATACCAGAAAGAGTTTATACAGGCATCTTCTCAATTGCAAAAATATGTGCATATATTTTGGAAATAAATATTCAACATAAGCCATGGTTTAATCAATGGGATGAACTTGGTTTGAAATTATTGGAAAACATATCAACACTTCCCTCCCCTCAAACTTTTTGTTGGATTTTTTTCTGGTAACACCGATAACTTTTTTGCCAACATTTTGTCAAGATTCTATAGCTTTCCAGCCACTTTTGGGAATTAAAATATTTCATGCAATTGAAATCAGTCTTTAATCTCACTTCTAATTCAATGTTTTTCTACTTTCCCTAGGCAGGGGATAAAATAGTGGAAAGAAGAAAAGAGTTGATTCCGTATATTTACCCTTTTTGCTTTGCCTCCTCTTCCCTGGCTTCTGCAACTCAACTTTAAGGATAAAAGTGGGAGGGATAAAATTCTACAAGAAAAGGCTCTTTATTCTATGCTGCTAATAATTTTATCTTGCATTTGAATGAGAGGCATCTAAACGCAAGCATTTCAAAGATGGAACAATAATATGGTCTTTGGAGGACTCCAATGCTTCATCTCCATGTTGCACCATTCCTTGAGTGTTGACTTCTTGATGCTTGCTTAGGTAGTGAACCAGCCCAATCTACTTTTCCTAGCATTTGGTATTTCAAGATGACATTAATATGAAAACACCTTATACCACTATTGTTTGTATTTTGTACTCCCCCCCCTAAAATATAAGTTTTTATTTGGTCACAGAATCTGGAGTTTGAACCTAGATAGAGATGACATCTGGGAAAGATAGCAGGGTCAGCTGCAGAGGTCTAGTCATTGCCTGGCCTCCTGCCACCCCTATGGTACCAGAAAGGTACAGAGTGGTGGCCAAAGACTGAACTCCATGGAGACATCTTTTGACCTCTGATCTGCTCTGGAGAAGAGCCCCATTGCTGTCTATGGAAGGACAGGAGGCCACACTTATTCTCTGAGTCACCCCACCCACCCGGCCTTTGGTCTCTGTCAGACCAGGCAGCTGGCACAGGCCAAGTCTAGGTGGGGGTCAGAGAGAGCTGTGAGATTTCTCATCTCCTCCATATCCCAAAGCATTTTTCCTCACCACTTGCCACTCTCTGGCTTTCTGGACTCCAGTTGATAGCATACACCTCATCTGTGTGGCCTGGCAAGTCTGTGTCCAGCTTTTGGACTCCATATCCCAAGCCTTCAATGTGCTGTCACTGCTGCCAATGACCAGGAGCTGGCTGTCAGCTGACCATGCTATCTGATGCATTGAAGCCACCTGACCACACAGGGAAGCCAGTGCTTACCTGTCCTGCTATCCCACAGCTCGTTGGACATGTTAAAGGAGGTGTTAGAGACCACGCAGGAGTCAGGGGAGAAAGGCATCTGATTGATGAGGACCTGGTGTCCAGTCATTCATCCAAGGGGCTTCTTGTTCTCTGCAGAAGGCTAAGGAATAAGATGAAGTTTTCTAAGCCAGACACCACCCTCTTAGGACACTGGCCCCACACAATTGGCTCAGAGCCCTCTCCTTTTACTCCTATAAGGACCCTTTCATGCATTAACCGAGGTCTGAGCTGGCTCAAAGGCCCTTGTGCACAGGGTTTAGTCAGTGCTGAAGGCCATGGTATTCACCCAGTGACCATGACCTTGAAGAGTCCAATATAACACTATCTTGGGCCCTCCAGACTTTGAGGTTACAATCCTGTGAGGCAGAGTAGAGAAGCCCATCTCCTCCCATCAAAGACAGGTGTCTGGGTGTGCCTGGTGAAGGTGCGCTCACAGCAGCCTAAGGTTGTGTCCCAGATGCTCTCACTGCCAGCCTTGGAGCTCTGGCCACATAGTGTCTCAGAATATGTACTGAGGGGCTGCCAGCTTCGGCCCCTGACCCACTTGTTATTGCCAGCAAGTGTCCTGAGGATGAAGGCCACAGAAATGACTGCCTCACTGTAACCCTCCAAGGAGCTGGTACAGCCGGTCACAGCATGGATCTTGAAGATACCCTGTGACTGATAAATGATGTTGAGAACCTTCTCGGTCTCTACTGCATGTGCCTCCAGCATCCTCCTCAGTGAGGAGATAATCCCAGCCTCTCAGACATAGAAATCCAGTGCTAGGAGATCCTTCTGGGCCAGCAGCACTTTGCACATGAGCTGTCCCTTTCCTACATCCAACAGGGAGCCCAGTAGCTGTCTGCCCTCAACCTAGTGCTGCACTAGCAGCCTCTGCATGTCATGCGCAGCTGCCTTGACCATCACTGTCTCTGCCATCCTGCTTCCCCACATGGAGGAGAAAGCTGCTCTGTATTTTATGTACTGTTATCAAAGATTGCTCCTTTCTGCCTTCAGATTTTAACAGCTGTGAGTCCAGCACCTTATCTATCGAAATCTCAAAGCCAAGAAACTTTTGGTGTTCTCCTCCACAAATAGTGTGGGGCTACCCTACTAATTTTTGTGATTCAGTGAGAATTTAACCTGAGATTCCAAAGCCTGTTGTAAGGGCAAATACAAATTAAAAATAAGAGGTCTTTCAACCTGTTGAAAATAAAGGACAAGCTTCCCTCTTCCTATGTTTAGAATTTACTATAGAAAAAAATGTAATTGTGAGTTCTTTCTCTGTATCTATAAAATGTATGTAAAAGTTTAAAATATAGGATGTGGCAAAAGTAGGTCTATAGTTGTAAGTGCACAAAAGAGTTTATTCTTGAATAATCAATTATTAATCATTCCCTGTATACAAATAAGGCTCAGGCCAGCTTTATGTCCTTGGAATGACTTTCTCAGGTTTCTGTGGGAAGGTAGAAGCCTAAGATCCTCAGACAGAAAAACTACCTCCTATCACAGAAGATTGTCTATACAATCTCTAAGCAGATTGCCTGTGTGGTCCACCACATTCTGGTTTAATGTTTATTCAATATGGAATCATTTTCTTTTACTTCTACCTCTCTGGAGAGGTTTGCTGAATATGGAGAAGAGAAGATTTTGTTTTCAATTATATTTCCTCGGCACTGTCCTATAAGCACCCTTCTTTTACAGCCCTACCTCTTGCCTTGGGGTACAAAGGCATCTTCCCTCCCACAAAGGAAACACTAAACATTTATTTTTCTTGATATTATTGGAAATGAAATTTGGTCTTAATTTTTTTTGAATTGTTTGTTGTTACTGTATAAAAATACATCTGATTTTTGAGTGTTGATTTTGAATCTTGTAAACTTGCTAAGTTTATAATTTCTAACATGTACTTTTCATAGTTTCCTTAGGGTATTTATTTATTTTCAATACACATTCATATACAAATCAAAGGATATTAAAGTACGTACAGTGAAAAGACTCATTCTCTTTTCCTTCAGGCATTCACTTTCCTTCCCCAGGTTACCAATTTCTTATGCATTCTCCCAAAGATATAATCTTACCTATATGAGCAATTAATATATCCTTCTACTATCCAAACTATTATGTACCCTTTTTTGTATACTTTAATCATATAATAGCAATATATAAAATGCCTCCTCATTTTATAAAAACCATAAAGCTGCATTTTTATCAGTTACTACTTTGTGGCAGCACTGTAGTATGTCTGTTATATTTTACTAGAGGCCCGGTGCACGAAATTCATGCACAGAGGGGGCCCAGCGTGCACCCTCTGTAATCCCAAACCCCTCTGGGAATGTCCTACTGAGTGTTTAGGCCTGATCTTACAGGGACTGGGCCTAAACCCACAGTCAGACATTCCTCTCACAATTAGGGATCACTGGCTCCTAAATGCTCACCTACCTGCCTGTGTGATCACCCCTAATTGCTCCCCTAATGGTCTGATCACCCCCAACTGGCCCCCCAGCTGGCCTGGTCACCCCTAACTTCACTCCTGCCTGCCTGGTCGCCCCTCAGTGCCCCCTCTGCTGGTCTGGTCACCCTCACTGCCCTCCTGCCAGCCTGGTTACCTTTAACTGCCTCCCCTGTTGGCCTGGTCACCCCATGCAGCTGGCTGTTCAGTCGTTTGGTCATCCCTCACTAACCCCCCTGCTGGCCTGGTTGCCCCCAACTGCCCCCCTGCCCCTGTCTGCCTAATTTCCCCTCACAGTTCCCTGCCAGCCTGGTCACCCCACACAGCCTCTGCTTAGTCATTTGGTAGTCCCTCTCTACCCTCCCTGCAAGCCTGGTTGCCCCATGCAGCCTATTTGGTCATCCAGTCACTTGTTTTAGTTGCGACGGTCACTTAAGCTTTATATGTGTGGATTTATTTCTACTGTTCATTCATGCATTTCAGAAAGTTTTCACTGAATAGCAGTTTAATGTATTTTTAATTTTACCCATTTCCTTCCATGATAAATGTAAGGTCAGTAGCATTTGAAAAACGATTCTATATTTCACTTGTCTTTTTCTTACTGACCTATACTAGTAAATTTTATCTAAATTTGGTCTCAGGGGACCTGAACAAAATATTTGCTAATGACAATGAATCTTATCTACTTTCAGTTTCTTGGGTTGAGAAATGTCAACCAGCTTTGAATCCAGATCTGAACTCTATATGTTAAGATACTTTCTGATTCTACTTTCATGTATCTCCTCTTTGTTCTTTTCCTTTAGAATATTAATTTCAGAAATTAATGTGGCCTTTCTTTTGTTAGGTGAATAGAAGCAGCTACAATATTCAATTTTGAGTAGAATTTTTTCTGACTTTTGAAATTGTGGATAAGTTACATGCTCAAAAATCCCTGTTGGCTTGAATGGAGAATGGATTTAGTGCACAACCAAACTCTAAATGGTTAGTAAGGCATGGGATTAACCATGTAAAGCTCAGAGATTTTAATTTTTCTATAGCATAATACTCAGAATTTAGGTGTCTTAAAAATTTAAAGCAGCAAATATTTTTATTTTCTTCTATCATATAAAAGGCTTATAATGTGGCAGATTCCATTTACCGTATAAAAATTCAAAAGCTAGCCAAAACCGGTTTGGCTCAGCAGAAGAGAGTTGGTCTGCGAACTGAAAGGTCCCAGGTTCGATTCCGGTCAAGGGCATGTACGTTGGTTGCAGGCACATCCCAGGTAAGGGGTGTGCAAGAGGCAGCTGGTTGATGTTTCTCTCTCATCTACGTTTCTAGTTCTCTATCTCTCTCCCTTCCTCTCTGTAAAAAATCAATAAAATATATTTTTAAAAAATTCAAAGGCTATAATTGTATAATTAATTAATGGATAAGCACCAGTGATCTGCATCCTGAAGCTATTTGAGCCCACTAAACCCTACCCCTTAGTGAGGCCTGAATAGATGTCATTAACTTACCAAATCTCTTGTGGTTGGCACTTTTGAGATAGCATTTGCACATCAAACTTGATTAAGTAAACCCCTAGTCACATTCAAACATTTTTTGTGTCTTGGCCTCTGTTGAAATCTACAGGTCTCCTGTGCTTTCTGAGGCCAATAGCCATTTATTTAGGGTGAAGAAATTGTTGATGACATAGAAATAGACTGGGGGTAATACATCAATAAACTGCAGTGTCCTGCAAGATGGAACATTAAAAAAAAAAACAAAAAAAAACTAAGGTTTCAGCCTGGCTAGTGTGGCTCAGTGATTGAGTGTCAACCTATAAACCAAGAGTTATGTTTGATTCTTTTTTTAAAAATATATTTTATTGATTTCCTACAGAGAGGAAGGGAGAGAGATAGTTAGAAACATCGATGAGAGAGAGTCATCCATCAACTGCCTCTTGCACACCCCCTACTGGGGATGTGCCCGCAACCAAGGTACATGCTCTTGACCAGAATCAAACCTGGGATCTTTCAGTCCCCAAGCCAATGCTCTGTCCACTGAGCCAAACAGATCTTGGCTATGTTTGATTCTTGGTCATGGCAAATGCCCAGGTTGCAAGCTCAATCCCCAGGGTGGGGCATGTGGGAAGCAGCCAATAAATTTTTCTCTCTCATCATTGATGTCTCTATATTTCTCTCATTCTCCCTTCCCCCGGAAATCAATCAAAAAAAAAAATATATATATATATATATATATATATATATATATATATATATATATATATATATATATCTTAAAACAAAACAAAGTAAAGAACAAAACAAAACAAAAAAAGAAAACTTCATACCTCCTGACCAGGTCATGTAAAAGCCAAAGTGTGACAACTATCCATCTATGTAGTTGTGAAAAGTAGCCTCATGGCTCAAATAGCCATCTACAGACAGCAGATTCAAAATGCCCTGCCCATATAGAAAAGCTCCAGGCAACCCACATGTATCCTAATTTCAACAAAAATCTTTCTGTAATGTTCATTTGGCTAGCCAATATTCTACTCCCTATATATTTCTCCTAGGTTTCAGTTTTGCACCATATGTTGGAGTAAAAAGAGGCTCAATTATACTTCTGCTCTAGCAGGTTTGGCTCAGTGGATAGAGCATTGGCCTGCAGACCAAAGGGTCCCAGATTTGATTCCAGTCAAGGGCATGTACCTTGATTGCAGGCTCCTCTCAGGCCTGGGCCCTGATTGGGCCATGTTCAAGAAGCAAGCAATCAATGTGTTCCTCTCACATCTGTGTTTCACATCGATATTTTTATCTGTCTTTCCCTCTCTCTTCCACTCTTTCAAATCAATGGGAAAATATCCTTGGGTGAGATTAAAGGGGAAAAAAAATAGACTACATTTCTGCACTCAACTGCTAAATTAATTGAAAAATAATGACAAAAGCAATGTGTATTTAAAAACCAAACAGATATCGGTGAATGGTTTTCCTAGTACTGAATCCCAGGTTTGTGAATTGTGTTTCTAGCATGGTTAAGCTGGTAAAGACTTCTTCTTTTAAGGACAGAGCCTACATCTGAGGAGAAGAATGGAATTATGTTCCATGTGGGGAATTCACTACTGAGAGTGAGGAATACATGTCCTCCCTTTTCTTCTAAACTCACTAACTACATAAACCTTCTCATTTCTCTGCTGTGCAGTGGGTGAATGGATGGATCGAAGTCAATAGTGTTACAACAATATAGCTTCCTCTACTTCAAAAGAATAATAAGACTGGGCTAGGAACCTTATTCATATCCCTTTCAATCCCTGCATTCCTTTCCCAGAATTCCACAGACACACTGCATTTGAAACTCCTTCAACCTACATCTTGCAGCTGAGTTTAACATACTTCCCTTGATTTATCCCCCTAAAGCTTCAGTAGATCCAGTCTTATATTCATTTTAAATAAAGATAGTATTGAAAGATAAGAAAGGAAGTTTTCACTGAAAAGATCTTTGGTCCCTTCCTGGCTTCAACCCAAGACTTATCTTCCTCATCTAATAACTGCCTTTAGTGACAATCCAAGAATATGTAAATTGACCTGACTCATTGTTGTGTCACTCTTCTTCAACCAAATAACTTGTGGAAATGCACATTATTGTTGCTAATGCGTTCAATCTGCAGCATTTTGTAGCTGTATTCTAAACAATTTATGGTTTGTTAATATGAGTAGATTATTTTATTTTTTGTAACTCATATTATTAAATAACTAGGGCCCAGTGCATAATTTATGTACCTTGAAAGGAACTGTGACCAGAACTGAACTCGGGACTCTTTTGTCTCCAGGCCAACTTTCCATCAACTGAGCCAAACTGGCTAGGGTAGGAGTGTATATTTTAAATGTGTTTACCTCTTACTACAGTTTATTCTGATTCTATCAATAGCTATAGGATGATGGTTAATGTACCTTTCAAATATATTACTATTTAATATTATTCTAATATTATTTCATTAATAATTTAAAGATGTTTTAAACCTGTTTTCAATAAATTTGGCAAGATGGTCTAGTAATTGTCTGTACCTGGGATGGTCTCAGTTGCCTCATGATAGCTGTGAACCCTCCAGAGCCACTTGCCTTTCATTTCAGGATCCAGTCTAGTGTTTCCACGTGGAACCAAATTGTTCTGCTCCCTGATCAGAGTTTTCTGTTTCTCCTGCTTATCAATTGGGATGGAGAACAAAATAAAGTTTTATTGAGGGTGTATTAGTCAGGGTTCTCTAGTGAAACAGAAACATTAAGATATAACACTAACCTACCCAGATTGGTTGAAAGTCCATTCTCCATCTTTTAAATTACAGAACAGATGCTGGACAGGGTGGGTAATTAGAAATCCTAAAAAGAGGCCCCCAGAATTCCAGATGTTGATGAAGAATTTGTTTTTGTGCCTATGAGTGCTGCCTCTTCCCCCTTACAGATATGGTAGTGAAGTCTCTTTGTTCAGTCCCCTAGCTAGACAAGTAAGGCCTTTCTATTATGATTGTCTCTGTGGTGATCACAGTCCTTCTAAACTAAATATAAACACTGGGCCTCCTTCTAACCAGGCATGTTCCTTATTTGTATGACAGTGAAAACCAAATCTGTTATACACATAGACGCAATATTACTTTTTGTAGGTTATATTAAATCCTCATTAAATTAATGCAATGATTCAGATATTTTCATATATTAAAACTAAAACATTTTTTGCATGGCAAAAATTATATATTAATGAGTCTAAATATATTTGATTTTCTATATGTGGAAAGCCATAGTTCATAAGACATTATTATATTTTTATTTATTTGTTTTTCATAAACCTATGATTATTATAAAAATGTTTACAGTCCTCTCAATTTTGCTGTGAACCTAACTGCTTTAAAAATATAAAGCTTTAAAAAATATATATATATTTTATTTAAAAAAAATATATATATATATATATATATGACTAAGTGACCATTATGACCGAATGAACAAATGGCCAGTAGACCAGTCATTGTGATGTGCTGCCCCCGATGGTCAGTGTGCTCCCAAAGCCAATCTCCCTTAGTGGGCCAACCTCCCATGGTCCCTCCCTCTGGCTGGCTGGCCCTGACCACCCCTCTCATCCCCCCTCATACCAGTCGGCCCTGATCAAACCTGATTGGCTCGCAGGCCAACCTCCCACAGTCCCTTCCCCCACCCCTAGCCTGCTGGCCCTGATTACCCCAATAGGGACTGAGTGAGATGGCCTCAATTGGCCCTGATTGCTGACCAGGCCTAAGGACCCTACCTGTCCATGAATTTGTGCACTGGGCCTCTAGAATGAGTGTGTGTGTGTGTGTGTGTGTGTGTGTGTGTGTGTGTTTCCCCCCATTTTCATTACATACAAGGTTTCTCTGGACAAAAAGAACAAATAATTCCACTGGATCATTTTCCTTAGCAATCTAAATATCTGTGTTTTTACTCATTGATGGATGTTTTGTTTTAATTTTAAATAGTTTGTATTTATTCTTGTTCCAAATTTACCTATACATTAAATGAAATGCAATAGTGTTTCCTACTACCATTGAGTAATGAAAAAGTATACTGAAAAGAATCATTGCTAACATATGTGCCTGAAAAGATATTCTAGCCTTTGGTTTTATATCATGAACTAAAGATCAATTTTCTGTGAAATGATATATTTTCTTTCATGTGATGAGATACTTTATGGAAGAATTCACTTGTGTTGTGCTTGTGCAGTATTACTGTGTATATTTTATATTTTCAGAAGTTTACAGAGTTCATGTATATCTAATTGCCCCAGTTAAAAAAAAAGTATAACTAATAGGCATTTAATTCAACTGTATCTTGAAGACTACCCCTTCATCATTAAATCATGAATCTCTAAATTGCAAACCCATACTGAGTGATTTTCATTATACATGTTCCTTGTAGTGTATTCACAAATTTTTCATTCCCTAGTCACCTGAAAGAAAGTTTTCCAATGAGAAGAAATTGCTCCCATTGGTATAGAGTAATAACTGTTATGTTGATGCAAGCTTTGATATGAAGAGTGCATGGACTAGTGAACCCTGGGGCCACTTAGGCAGGCTGCTGAGTTAACAGAGTCTGCAAGGTTAGACCTTCCTTGCATGTAATTGAAATTGGCTCAAGGTCCCATGTGGACTCATAAATAGTATAGAATGAATACCTAAACTTAACCCATTATCTGGTATTCTTTTCAAAGAATAAAGTGTTTGTGTTCTTATGTGAGGGAGTTTAACAATATTACTTTTTTCCCAGGAGAGGAACACTTATATTTCATCCTTTGAAAGGAAAAAATAAACATTTCTATGGACTCTCTTTCTCTGCTTTTGAAAACACAGTTAAACTGTGTCTTGCAGGAGAGGATCAGCAGAGTGACACTGAGTGGCCCTTCTCTGCTCTTAAGAATGTGGTTCTATCAGGCACCAAGCTTGATTAAGGTAAAATATAAAGTGTATTTTGATGAGGCAAAAGCTAATTTTTTCATAGAAAGTGAAATGATAAATTGTGTAAAAGGTGTGATGAATATCCCATCATGTATAGGATGGAATTATATCAAAGCTCATTTTTCTCAGAGATATTTTCTTCTTCTTAAACAGTTTATGGGCAAATGCACTGAGACCTGAGCAAATACATCTCTCACTTCCAGCTCAGGCTTGTGGGATGCAATGTTAGATGTAAAGCAACATGTGCCAGGAGCTGCATAGAATCGCTCTCCATCTGCTGCCCGGCAGCCCTGCTCCAGGTAGAACTTTATTACCCTTAGTCCTGTGCCAGTACCAGCACCTGCATGTAGTTTAACTTCAGTCACGAGGCTGTATTTTAGGCAGAACCTGACAGGAAGAAAAGACAGATTGTGGGGAAGTGCAGTGTATTTCACTTCTCTTTTACACTTGGAGGGTGGTAACTAAAAGCTTTGCTTGGTGAGAATTGGATCTCTAGTATAAACACAGGATTTCTGCAGTTCCTATCCTTGTAACAAAATCTCCTCGCTATATGGCATTTACTGGATATTGCGTAGCTCTCTGCAGTTGATAGTTGAGCAATAAAAAGCTCCCCAATGTTGCTTTCTGACTTGATGGAGGTCAGTCAGGATGTTGACCCTGATGAGCTGAGCCAAGCTGAGCCTTGTCTCCATTCCAGTATAATTGGCCTCAGCTCCAGGAGGTTTAACCTTCGATTGCAAATCCTTTCAGGATACATAGGCACAACACCCTTTATTTGTTGTGGTATGGACAATTTTTCTTTTCGATAGATCCACACACACTTAAACATTTAGAGTTGATGGCCCCGAGGAGTTATATTTATGTGTGACTCAACACCAAGTGAGGCTTTTACATATGGTGATGACTCCTTTTGACAAGAATTTTTAAAATAGCTGTGAGTTGGCAACATAATACATACACATATGTAATATTTCTTTTCTTATTTTTGTGAGTCAGATTTGATGGTGAAGGCTAGCAGTAAATTTCAATTTCTCCTCCATTTATTTTTCTTTTTGTGGTGTTGCTTTTCTATTTCTGCTGTAACAAATTACAATAAACTTACAGGTTTCAAACAACAAAAACAATTATTATCTTTCAGTTATGTAGGTCAGATGCCCAATAGAGCTTCATGGGTCTAAAATCAAGGGGTTGACAGGGCTGTAGGAGAGAATCTGCTTCCTCGTCCTTTCCCCCCTCTGGAGGGCGTGGGCTTTTCTTCACTCCTGGACCTCCTCCATTTCTACACTCCTGGCAGGTTGAGTTCTTTACACGCCCTGTAACTTTGACCATTTCTGCTTCCCTCTCTGTTTTTTAAGTCTTGTGATTATATTGGGTCCATCTGGATAATCCAGAATAATATTATTTTAAATTCAAGTGATTAACTGCCTTTAATTCCGGTAGGCAACTTTAATTTCTCTGTGCCATGTAAGGTGATATATGCACAGTTATCAGGAATCTGTAGGCCCATGGGGTGAGAGGTGGACACAGAGGACACTATCTCACCCAATTACGGGAGAGCTGGCCTTCATCTGCCTGACCCCACCCAGCAGGGTGTCTGCCTCTCTATTCTCCATCCTTCCATCTGTGACACCTGACACCCTTGTCAGGCCTCCCCCAATCCCTGAATGTAAAAGGGCACGGGAGGAGAGCTTCCACTCCAGTGCCCCCTGATTTCCAGTGACCTGACTGGTCTCAGGACAGTGGCCACAGCTGCAGAACATAGATCTGTTTCAAGAAAAGTTAGGAATGCAGACTTTCGTATGAGCCTCTATTCCAAAAGGTGGCAGCTTATTCACACTGTGGCAAAGACACTTTAAGAGTAACATAAGTGG